CACACACACACATAGACACACCAGCCACTCGAAATCGACGCTTCAACACAGAGACGAAGCAGCTCCCACCGTGTAACTGTTCTCTAGAGCTTCCCCTCCCGCTCGTTCTCGTTTTATATTTGTTTTTCTTAATCAAAGATAAGCTTGGCAACAATAGCACGAGATTCTAAGAGATTTCATGTAAGAAAGAATCCGATTGAAGAGCCCCTGCGAAGAATGTGTACTTAGATTTCTCCTTCAGTTGCACTGTTGATAAATCCTGCAGGGAAAGAAATGAGGAAAATGTAAGCTTCAACACAACTGCAACGACAAAAACCGAGTCGGATCTAGCTGTAGGGTAAGTAAAGAAGTTCTACAGGCTGGAAATCATATGTCTCACCCACTCGGAGGCAAATGTGAAACACATTCTTGGAGGATTCTATTATGGTAGCACGTGGGACGATCGTGTCGTACTTGAGGTGCTTGAAAGAAAGGAAGCTCCTGGGAATGTGCATGTTAACCCACGACCAAGGGAATCATTTGAAACCCCACGGCAAGCTAATCCCACTTACAGTTGTNACTTGTACGAGATATCGACAGAGCAGCTGTTTGTACGGGTTAACCCTTCTATAATAGATTGAGGTCGATAGATTCTACCATTTGTAGATGGCAAAGATGACGATGAACTTGAAGCCATAATCAATAAAAAACAAATAAAGAATCAATAAAGTAGAGTAGTCAATAGCAACTATGAGGCAGCTGATTCCACTTTTGTCGACGTTGCTCGCATTGCCACACTCCTCTATGAAGCTGCCTACATAGATCCATTCTGAGGCGCAATCTGCAGGGAATGCATAATGACCGGCGCTCTAGGGTTCTATGGGGTCGTTTTTAGGTACCAATTCGCTATGCAATGTCATGCGAAGCTCCTGAGCACTTTTCGAGTACCCTCATCAACAACAAGCCCATCGCGTCCTCTTCAGAAAAAAAAAACCACAGAAATTTCCGATTGACATGGGAAAATCTGGGAACAGGGTATGTATGAGGATAGAATTGATTACCAAGTGCTAATTTAGAAAGCAGCTGGTCTGACTGAATGAACGTTCGAATGGCTTGGAATTTTGGGTTAAAGTCGGACGCATGGCTCAACCAGAATAGGGTGATCTTTGGTATAACAATGCACCTAACTCTTTCTCATCTTTTTTCACCGTTTCTACACCAATACGCAAGTGAGCACCTTCATCTGGCTCAGGCTCAGATCGGATTATTGGGAACGCCCATTCTTAAATCCTGCATCACGTATCCTCAAAAAAGTGGGTAGGATTTGTGGAGCAATGTTTGGGAGGAATCGTAGTCTTCTGAAAGATGTACTGGATCCAAGGTAAACAAAGCTATGTTACATGTTGACTGGATGGTGACGCCATAGCTCTCGTTATGGCTCTCGGAGAATGTTTATTTAAAGACTGCCACATTCTGATGAGGTCATGTCCACCTTTGTAGTAACTGGGCAAGGTCATATCCACCTTTGTAGTAGCTAGGAAACCATATCGTTTGAAAAATTTTCTTTCAAAATGTAATCATTGCAGTAAAAATAGTCATGAAAAAATGACTAGAGAGGAAAAAAGAGGGAAAGAGTGGCAGATTCAGGGCTCAGGAAGAAAGATTCGAGATTTAAGGCTTTGAAATTGTATATGATCGATTTGTTTGCTTGAACATTCAATACCGAAGTAGGTCCTGTAAAGAAACGCATCATACGATTGGTAATGTGTACGAGTCGGGTTGCTATCACAAAAACATCATGCGCATGTGTGTGTGTGTGTGTGTGTGATTGCAGTGAGAATGCTGGTGTTTGTCGTAGAGTACTCAGAACGGCTTCACAATAAAAGCCTGATTGCCATGGTGACTCTATCTCAGTCGCAGGCCTCACAATCTCAGTCAGTCTCAATGAAACAAGCGTGCCACTCCATAGCAAATTAGGTCGGCTTCAGTTTTCCAATGATTGCGAGAGGCTGTATGTGTATGTGTGTGTTCGTTCGCGAATTCCTAGGGGAACAGTATGTATACGCCCCTATACCCAAAGACAAATATGGCCATCAGTTGTTCTCTCGTGTCAAGATGATAGACACGATAAACTCATGGATTATCGGATAAGTAGAATGGAAAGCAGCTGTTTATCCAGACGGATTTGTAGCTTATGCCAGCTTCTTCACAATAATTACGTGCTCCACAGGCGCAATTATTAGAATCGCCTGTTGGGCCTGTTTCGTTCCTGTTAATTGTCAATTGGTCTCTCATGCAAACCAATAGTTACTGAAAGAAACTTCGAACTTCGTTTGATCAATTTGTGCAGGTATTCGCTGTAAGCTGTGACGCTCTAGAAAAAACTGTGTGCTCGTTGGATATATTTTGCAGAGACTGCGGACTTGTTAGGCATAGATGCAGCTTTGGTGAATATGACTTCATTTGGATTCCCCATGAGCAAGCGGGGAACCATAATGACATTCAGCCCGATAGTGATGTAGAGCGTTGAATGTCATCATTCCATTAAATCACTGACATTTCAAAATCCATTATTCTGGCAGAATTTGCCAATAGCCTGTACATGCGACGACTGCTTGGAGCTTCGTCCGACCGATAATGATAAACTCAATGCGTTCTCCCAGGTTTTTAAATCTGACCTCATTCAGAGCTGCTCGAATTGAGGAGAAGAGCTGGAATTCCCATGTAGTTAGGTGTGCTTCTTTTCAGAACGTTTCTCTCGCGAACAAAAGAAAATTTGCTTCAACATGATTTTATTACAGTAAATACTAAAATCTACAAATGAAAAAACAGCACAGTATCTTCATACATGGAAAGAAATCGAAACGGTAAGGAGGAGCGTTAAGGAAAGCTTTGTCCGAAAATAAATCACCATGTGGCATACGTAATATAATACAAACAGTCTGAGCCTGTCAATGTATGCACAATATACAGCTTGGTTGTGGAACCTGGTTACTCGCTTTTAGGAAATTGAAATATTTTTTGATTAGCAACGTTCCTAGTTTAATAATTGACCTTTTCAGAAAGCTTCATTGGTAGTGTTTTCGAATAAACTGCTGCGGCGTCGGCGCCTTGTTCGGAAGCGATTCATCCGTTTTCTGTTGTAGGGTAAAAAAGAAGCAAAGTTCCTGAAAAGCATTTGCGCTATTTATTAAGGAAGTTACCTCCAGTTTTCTCCTTTACTTGATCTTCGATGTTGAAAAGTAGATGTCATGTTTATCAAGTTAAATAGTGTTGGAAACATGGATCGAACGCAGAAATATACATTACTTATCAGTTATTAGCCATGTTCTCAACATCGTAATCGGTCGGTGATCACTTTGAAAAGCAAAGTCTAGGCCGCTCCCCTGTATTTGTATATGAGCGGAATGGCACATATAGGATCCCCTCAAGATAAGACCTGATTTGATAGGAATTCAAATATAAGGATTCTGTCGGTAAGTTCGTGCATTCTGTTAGTATTTTTCATAGAAGTTAGCTGTATAGCACCATTGTTCAAGGTATGCGCTTTCATACTGTGACGTCCTGATGCTCCAGGTCTAAGAGTACAAATCTGAAGATGAATCGGGATTACTAGGACTGTCTTGGCAAAAACGTTCTATTAATGGCTTCTTTCAGATGTTCATAGAAATTGAAGAAACAGTCTGTTTTATTGCTTCGTTCCTGTATGGAAAAATTCCGAGGAGGTGTGGTAGAAATCTTGAAAGAAACATTCGATAAACGCAGGTTCATCCGTACGCGATATCAGCTTCGTTTGCCCTTATTTCAGCAGAGTTGACTCATTCGCTGAAGCCGTCGCGAATGGTCTTGTCGACCGAATCTACACGCGATCTGAACCACTGAAGTCATATTCACTCGTGGTCAATGTTGATGAAAATAAGGACAACTTGATCGAGGAGGTCAGACAATGCAGAAATAATAAAACACTGTGCACGACTAGGACACGGGATAGTCTGCTTTCATGCCCATCGCCCCTAACAATGCTGAAACTATCATAACAATCCTCTCCGGTGATGAGAAAGCAAATGTTGCGATCAGAACAAACTCAAGAACGGCAATTAATGACACCCTAGCACAATCAACTTTCTTATAATCACGTTTTATTGAGAACGAAATAGGCACTTTGGTGGTGTTCAATTGCTCATTCACCTTCAGAATGCAAATTTGTGGATCGCTGGTCTGTTCAGGCTGCATCCTGCGCATTCATTTCCCTCCGAGAGCTGAGCAAGCTCCTGCCAGCTAATCTGCTGCTGGAACTTCGTGAAGGATCTGTTCATGCCGTGAATGCTGATACTGGAAATGTGAAATGCATTTATCCGGTACCTGGCTATTGTAACGGTTTGTAAGCAGTTCTTGGTTTCATATAGCAGATTCCTTTCAAAAATTTGAAGCCGCTATGGGTTTGTTTCTATTATCTCAGCTGCGAGACATCCTGCTATAGTACCGCCATTTGCAAACTTTGTGTCTGCAGAGGGCAATCGTCGCAATGGTCGTCGTCCTGCGAGTAGAGCAACAGACTCTCGCCGTCGCCCATGTTTTCGAGTTGAATTCGCATATCCAAAGGGCAGCGAGCGCGATGAGAGAGCCGTTGCAAAGCCGAACTTTGAGGTAGCCTTCAAAATTCGCTAATCGTCGCAAGCGAATCTCACAAATTCATTGTAGGTGGAACGCAGTGAACAAATCTATTCAGCACAAGCCTTTGCAGCCACTCGATTCGGATCAACAAAACTGAAAACTTATCAAGTCCGTATTTAGCGTATATTCTTTCATGACTACAGCAAGCATATAGTCTGAGTCTTTCAGTCATCGCAGTGTGGAGATAACGGCTACGGCCATCACCCGTTCACAATGCCGTCCGTTTATGCATACCTAAGGCAAGCCTTTGCATCGTGCAGGTACACAAACGGCTTTACATAAGACTCGTTTCCAGACTGCTCGTATTTTTAAATGTACTCGCATGTGCGACAATGATACAAGGAATTGAAGAGGGCGTTGAAACTCAAAAGTCCGCAGAGTCTTCGGATGATGAAAAGGTCAGGGTCAAGAAAAACACATTGTGTCCTGCTTCTCAGCCTAATAAAGAAGGACTTGGAGCCACTCAGGGAGAGAGCTCAAACGCGGAAACACTTCGAAGTTCCTTCCAGATTCAGAGCAATTAGCAAACCTACATTGTTTAGAAAAGAGGGTTGTACCCCTAAGAATGGGATGCATTTAGACATAACACACGTTTTTCTGACTGTTCCCTAGCCGGGAAGTTGCTGTGAAATCAGCTGTAGTCCCCGCGCGAAGCAAAGCTGAAAACTTCTCACCACTCCATGTTGTAGCATACTTTGAACATATTGTGCTCGATCTGTCATCGCGCTACTTTTCCTTCCCAAAGACATCTTTCTTGGTGAAGCTCTGAATTAGCAGCATCTAAGTAAGGTTACCTCTTGCCCCAGTTTCAATTGAGCGCTACCGTAATCTACTGCTCCGGTAAGTTAGTTTTCACAGAGATGCACTTTACCTTGAAAGGTTTATCACCCCGATGCTTTCTTTTCAATCTAACCAAGAGGTTGAGAGCTAATCTACTACAGCTTAAGAGTTAATGTCGAGAAGCAGTTATACCTAACACATACAAATAATGTTCTAATAACTAGAAGTGAAACTGTACTCATACGATTACGGTAGCTTTCAACTGAGACTGGCGAATCATCACTGCATAATCCACAAGTAAATTTTTACAGAAGGGACTCCTCGAAGAGACTCATGGCGATCGTGCAAGTAGCGGATTCGTAGATGATGACGAACTTAGCGACCGTTAGTTACCAAAAACTCTGGCCCCACTTTATTAAAAGTTATGATCAGTCAAAAAACGAAAGACCAGTGAGCTCTGAAGGGAACCGTGGTCGCATGAGTCCAGTCCAGGGGTTTAACAGTAAGTGCGAAAATAACGAACAATCCATCTACGACAACACTGAAATTTGCGAGAGTTTCCAAAAGGTGGCTAACTCTCAACCGCTATCTCATTGATCAGTTGTTTACATGCACCTTTCGCGCTTTGGCTACCGACTACCTAGATGAACCACAGAACTAGTAGAATCGTGACCCGATAGCGTGGGCAACAATACAACGAATACATAGAAACCGCATTTGAATACTCATGCACTCACTGATTCGTTGATCCTATCGACTTATTAGAATTCCTTTACGTGAACTTAGATGCTTTGGTCTATTGAATCGGAGAAGCCGCGCTTTCTGGAAAGTTCCTATTAACGTTCTTTGGAGCGTTATGAACAGTGAAATATGTATATTTACACCTGAACATTGAGGCAGTAGAAAAGGGACGAGTGCAGCAAAATCGGTTCCTGTAAAGGGTCACTGTGTCGAGCTCTCATAACGGTCTAGTTTCATGTGCAAAAAGTTCAACTTTATACGATAACGCCTATGTTCATCTTGATTCATTTCAGCAGTCAACGAAAAATCGGACACGTACTGCTGAGAGAAGAAATGACCAAGCGCCGTCTGACGAGTCAAAATCGGTTAATAAACATTAAGAAATCGAACAATCATTTGCATTGCTGTAGAAGGAAAATAAGAAAGATCAAGCGCCGATGATTTACAAGCTAAAGCGTTCAGATGCACTGGTGCATTAATGAGTACCAATGCGGTGTGGCACCCCGGGCCCGAGTATTTGAATTTGCCACGAGTGTGGAAGCAGGCAAGATCTACGACAGAAACGAAATTTCAGACGTGAAATTTTAGCTGCTCTTGCTTCAGAATGGTACCTCAGCATATACTCTCACATACCATTCCAGTGAAAATTCCTCCTCGCTATAGTCCTAAGACACTGGCTTAATCCTGAAGTAACAACTACCAGGTTGAAGCCAACATACCATCGACATGTTGTGGGAAGATTCGAACTTCAGAGTTCGATCAATATAATGAATTGAGAATAGTAGACTCTTGTTCGAAACAATTTTAACATTAAATGCACATGTGGCACTCAATTAGAAGAAAGTGTATACATGTATTAGGTTGAGTCATAAGTCCTCGGACAATGTCAAAGTGATGAATTCTAGTGATCATAACTCGAGAAAGAGGTGACGAAAATGGACGCGCGAGGCATTGTTAGATAGAGTATAAAAAGCTCTTCCAAATTCAA